AGCTTCCTGGAGCAGGGGGTGCAGAAAGCCACAGGTTGCACAAGGGATGCCTCCCTCTTGGATAACCTCCTCCTACGTGTTCTGGCCAGGCAGCATGAGCCGTGTTTGACACCCTGCATGCAGGGTCCTTTTCAACCTCCATCAGTTCTTCCCTTAGACACAAAGCAAAAATCAGCTTCCCTCTGCACCCGTGTTCTGCAAACAGCCCCTGCCCCCAAAACCTCATAGATCCTCCAGGGGAGAAGCCGCGGCAGGACTCAGAGCAGGGGCTGGCATTTGCCAGCACCCCTTGCCCTCTCCTGAGCGCAGCTTTAAATGGGCACCGAGTCTTGCTGCCCGCACCAGCAATCAGACCATATTCTCCCAAACAGCTCCCAGCCTGGAGATGGAAACTTGGCAGTTGCCTGCAGGGAGAGAGGAGGGGACCCCTCTCGCAATGCCGGCAGCGTTTGGCCCTGAGGAAAGTGGGGTTTCTGTTCTGCAACCATTTGCTCGGCAAAGGCTAAAACTGAGGTGACTTCCAGGAGAATGTGCTTGCAGAGAGCGGGGCTCGAAATGGTGTATTTTCTGCTGGCCCCAGTTCAGACAAACCCACAAGCAAACATATTTTTTTGTATAAATAAGACAGTGTGTCTCGCCAGTTAAAGCAATTCAAACATGAATGTAGCAATTTAATTGGTGCCAATTACTGTGTCTCGGTAACATTAAGATTTCAGTCACAGACTCTTTCGCATGGTAGACGGGCCAGAAGAGGGAAGGCAGAGGGACCAGCAGGATGGGGCCTCTCACCGAGAGGCAGCTCTGCCTGTCTCCTGCCGGCTTTGGGAGCCTCGTCCCTGCCAAGCAGCCCCAGTGCTGCCCGTGGGGACGTGCTGAGAAGTCCCCTTCCATAGCATGGAGAAGGTACCTCCTACTCCATCTGTCTCCTGGTTTGCAGCCCAGGGTTTGACATCCAGTGCAGCACCCCTGTTATTATCCCTGCACTCCCCAGCCCTTCCCAGCTCCTGCTCCTGCACCCCACAGCCTCCTGCAAGCCCCATCACACATCGGCTCTCGCTGAGCCCTGGGAAGAGCATAGGATGGGTGTTAGTGGAGACCTGGACAGATGAGCAGGTGCCCCCGCAGGCATGCCCTGGAGAGGACGAGTCTGTCCATGGGTGCAGGACACACACTGCTGTCACTACACCAGCCTGGCTTTTCTGGCATCAGCCTTTCTGTGGGAGCTTTTGTGCTCTGCCTGCTCCCTGCACAGGCTCTCCACACGGCCGTCCTCTTGCTTGGCAGGTTGGTGATTGCAGGAGGAAGGTACAAACACAGACCAGGGCATGTCACAGCCTGTGTCTCAGGTGTGTGCGTGCCCAGGGACAATGAAAAAGCAGGGTGTGAAAGGCAACACATCACTGTACATCTGCTATCACTGGGGGGGGAGGCAATGGACCTGTGGGACCCCCTTGCTCAGTGCATAACCCATCCCATCACCCCTCTGTGCATCCCCAGCATGTGTCCCTCTCCCTGTCATGGATGGGTCTGCTCTGTGTCCCCCACGGTGCCAGAAAAATGCTGCACTTCCAGGAGGAGGTGTCCTGGTGGGAGTGGAGCAGGGCAGAGGTGTGCTTGGCTCGAGGAGCCTAATTAGGCAACTGGGGAGAGGAGGAGGGGAAACAGCCACCCCTAAAACAAGCCTCGTTATGTCCAATTTGCCTGGTGGAGTGGAAGGAGCCTCCTGGAGCTGCTCCAGCCTCTCAGGAAACAATACCCAGTCTATACCCTCCCCTTGCAGCTCCTCTCCAGGGGATTTCTTTCCCTTGGTTAAGGTACAAACAAACAAACTCCCTGAAGTGTTCAGCTCGGATCCTCCCTCGCAGGGATAGGATGTGTCCAGCCAGCCTGCACAGTCTCCAGCTCCCACCAGCTCTGGGCCAAAGGCAGCCCCCACTGCTAGCACCACGGCTGTGCTCCCATGGGATTCAGCCATCACTTGGCTACTGCAGTCCCTGCCCTTTGCTGCTGCATCCCGGGAAGACGCTTTGACAGAGCCTGACCCTATGAACACCACTACAAGCCCATCCTGCTTCAGCATGGCATCAGACACTGGGGCCAGAGGGACCTCAGGGACGGCCTGGCGTCAGAGTAGAACTGGGCACAGAAGTCCCTGCGCTGACCCTCTGGCAGTGGCCGGTCACAGCTCTCCATCACTGGGGCAATGCCACAGCCAACCAACATGGTCTCTTCCTGCATGGCATCGCTCTTGCAGCTAGAGAATATTTCTTAACCTCAGCTTTCCTCTGGTGCTCACTAAGGCAGTCCTGTCTTGCCCTAGTCCTGGAGAGGGGCTCAGTGCTCTGCTCGTCCTAACAGTGATGTTCTGAGCACTTGGGAAATCCTGTCACAGACCCATCAAAAATGAGGCTAAAAGAGATCCTGGGGTCATTGCCATGCTGCAGTGCCCACCTCTCCCCAGCCAGACGTTTGCCTGATGTGTCCTTTGAAACCTGTGGGGCTGAAGGTGCCCAGCCTCATGCCTTTAAACCTATGGACATTTCCCCTAAAAGCTAACTTTCTTCTTTGCAGTGACCTTTCCCGTGCATGAAGACTCTGTGTTACCTCCCCATAACACTCTGTGACCAACGAGCCCCTTCAAGCCCTCTCCCAGTCCTCTGCAGCCTCTTCTGGGCTTCGGATCTTCCTCCCTTTTCTCCCTGAGCCTTTCCGTGTGCATCCCTGCTGAAGTGCTTGGCATCACTTGCTGGGGAGGACCTGCTCCCTCCACCCTGCCTGTTTGCGCTGCCTCCAGCCCTGCGCCTTTCAGCACATCCCACAGGAAGAGCTGTGGGTTTCCCTGCACCACGCTGCAATCTGGTTTGTGTCCGCTATAGCCCCCAGATCCTTTCCCACCATACAAGCTGCCTGGGCTGTTAGCTCCCCAGATCACGCACAGCCATTTAACATTTCCCTGTTAATGGCAGCATGCTGTCACAGCTTGCTGTTGCCTGGTTGGTGCTGGACTCCCCCCAGAGCCCTTGGGATCCTCCTGCGCTCCAATCTGCCCCCACACCGGCTGCCCACCCAGCTTGGTGACAGCCCAGAGTTGGGTACATGCGCTCATCTGTCACCCAGGCAGTTAATATAGAGATTGCAGAGGACCAAGCCCAGGCTAGAGCTTTGTGAGACCCCACTCAAAATGCACAGGACTTTGGACAGCAAGCCATGGCTAACTTCTCTCAGACTGCAGCATTACAGCTGGCCAGGCTTGTGTTCAGACCGTGCTCTCTTTCAGAACGTGAGCATCCTGAACCCCCAGCCCTGTGTGGGGGTGCAGGAGATGAGCTGAGGGCAGGTAACTGGGTGGCTGCAGTCCCTCCACCTGCTCCTTCAGCAAGGACCCTCCATGCTGTTGAGCTGGAGAAAGGGACAGCTAGATTTAGGGACAGAAAAAAAGCCCTCTGCATGCTGCAAATGGGTCGCTGTGACCCCTCTTGGTGCACCAACTGACTTGGGGATGTTTCCTGGACCCAGGGACACAGCCCAGGGTTGGCAACTGCCACCATGGCCACAACATGCCCAAGCATGAGTGACATCAGTGTCAAGGAGTGACTTCAAGCCTCATGTCAGACTGTGCCCAGGGCTGGCTGCCAACCAGGGTGGCTACCTGGTGGGTCCCCCTCTGAGCCAGCCCAGCACATGACCTCTGCCAGGCAGAGCCATGTCTTTGCCACAGGCTACAGCTGCCTAAATTAAATGTGCCCCTTTCCTGAGAGCGTGGGCTGCACAGGCACCTTATCCTGCAAGGTGTTGAGGGGAAAATGACCCTTCAGCCAACCCCTCAGTGGCCCTTGGGGAACACTGGGGCTCAACATTACTGGTCCTTGTCATGGATGGGAAACCCTCTGAAAAGGTTTGGGACTGCTAAGCCCCTACAAACAGGGTTTGCACATCAAACCAACTACTTTTAGCTATTTGCCCTCTGCTTTAGCAGAAGCCCCGGGTGCTCAGGGGCAAGGATGGAGCAGCACAGCATCTCTTTCCACCACAAGTCCTGCTTTGAAAGTCTTCCTGTTGGCAGGAGCTGGATGCTCTGAGCCCACAGTGGTCCCAGTATGAGCACCAAAGCCCTTCAGGTCATGCAACCCCCTGTCCCCGGGCTTTTGGGGCTGCCTGAGTCAGCACAGCTTCACTCCAGACCAGCTCCAGCCTGCTGGAGGCCCTCAGCTCCTGGGCTTTTGGGACAGCAGAGTGGTTACCCACATCCACGCCCAGAAGGGTTTTACCAGGCTCTTCCCCCTCCAGTACCCGGCACGCCAGGGCGCAGGCCCTGGTCAGGGCTTGCAGCCATCCCTCTCCGCCTTGGCCTGGCCCATGGGGACAGGAGTTCTGCCAAGGGCGCAGATCAAAGCAGCGTGGTGCTGGGACCACCCTGAATTTAGGCATGACCATGGATGTGTTTGGACGCACTGATGCTGCTGTGACACTGCTCTGCAGTGGGGCACGCTCCTGCCTCTAAAAGATGTCTCGCTGGGGATGGCAAGCAGCCCCTTCCCCATGCACACCCCAGTCCTCCCACAGCCGCAGGGCCTGGAGAGCCAGGGTAACCCCCCAATACAGGGAGGGACTGAGAGCTCCCCAGGGAAGATGCAGAGGTCCCCTGGGCCCCACTCCTGTTGCAGCAGGGTCCTCCCTCCTGTCCCACAGCTTCAGCATCCCCTTCACTCCCCGCAACCATCCCAACCCCGGACCTGGTGAGAGCTGACAGGACAGCTTTTCCTGCAGGATACCGCAAAGCTCGGCCGCTCTCCACCAAACACCACCTCCCCAGGGCTCAGAGGGGTGTTTTGGGGTGCCAGCCCCTTGCCGGGGAGCAAAGCCCCTTCCAAAGCAACGGGCTGGCTCGGGGACAGGGTCCTTGGGGTCCGTACCACCTACAGCATGAAGTTTCCCGCCTGAAGGGCTGGAGCAGAGCTGGAGGGCGAGTCGGAACGCGGGTGGGTGACGCGAGGGCTTACCTTGGGCAGGGTCCCACCGGGCGAGTGCCTGTGCCACACGTCCCACGGGCGCTGGCCGCCCTGAAATTCCTTCCTCTCCTCCTCCGCACTCTTTATCTGCTGCCTGCCGAGGCTCTCCCTGCCCTCCCAGCTTTCCCCAGCTGGCAAGGCTTTTCCACTTAAAGGAGAGAGAGAGGGAAGGGAAGAAATGAAGTGGAGGGGAGGAGGGGAGAAAAAATAAAATAAAATCTAAAGGAGAGGCAAGGCTGTGCCAGGACTGGGCTGCAGCCAAGCCCTCACTCTGCTCCTCTAGTGCATCTCAGCAGCGTCCTGGGCAGCCCCCAGCCCACCTGGGAGGGGGTCCGGCTGCCTCAGGCCCCAGTGTGGAGCAAAGCCCCGGGCCGAGGGATGTGCACGCGTGTGTGTGCGTGTATAAATAAAAGAGACCTCAGGAGGAGGAGAAGGGGGGAGGCTGCCTCACCAATGAGGAGCGGAGTCCGTCCGACTTCCTCCCTCCACCCTCTGCGGGGACCCTTTGCAGAGCAAAACTTGCGATTAAAGCCCGGCAGACGAGTGCGAAGGGGGGGAAAAAAAAATTTAAAAAGGAGGAGAAGCCAAAGCGGCTGCAAGGAGAGGGGAGTTTTGCCGCAGGATGCCGATGAGGGGGAGCGGCGAGGGCCTGACTAACGGGAAACAAAAGGAGCCCGGACCAGCCCGGCTCTTGCCTCCTTAAACCGGAGGGAAGGAGTTGCTCTCTCCCTGTGTCTGCTTTCAATTCTGGCCTTTTTCCCTGTTTTCTTTTTCTTTTTCTTTTTTTTTTTTTTTTTTTT